CGGAGGCTCCCGGGGCCTGGGCAGGGCGGAGCGGTGCCCAGCAGGCTGCGGAGCGGTGCCCTCTCCTCTCCGCCCGGCTCCTCCGCGCTCGGTCGCCGGCCGGCGGAGAGCCGAAGCGGGGCTCCATTGCTGCGATCCGGCGCCCAGACCCAGCCTGGCCGGAAACCACCGGGAACTCCTACTTCGGAGTGAGGGGTCGCGTTCAAGCGAGGATCGGCGGTCAAGGGACTGTGTCAGGTCGCCCACCCGCGATCCCTACTTTCTGTCCACTTCTGATTAGTTCCTTCCCAGGCCTGTCTGCAGAGGGTGGGCGTTGCAGGGAGGCTACTGATCTCTCCACCTCTAACTACTGTATTTTCATAAAGAATCGTGCTGTAAGTTCCCGAGCCTCATCTGTTTAAAGGGTTATTAGATGTAGGGACAGACACTTTATTAATGAATAGGGCTTTGTAAAGGGATCCTTTGCTGAGCAGCGTTCAGGAAAAAACCAGCTTCGGGGAAACTACTTTTCATTTCTTCTGATGAGATGTTTGACAAATCTTACTATTAATGCCCAGTTTCCCTGTCCAGCTGCTTTTCTCTCTTCCCGCTTCTATTCTGAAAGGCTAGTGTCTACCCGAGGTGTTTTCTCTAGGCTACTGATCTTCACTTATCACTGGGGATCGGGGTGTTTCCAGAAACTGCTTTTGAAAGGGAAAGTTGAGGAGTCGTCGCCCGGTTTCTCCTAGAGCTGCAGTTTGAGCTATCCAGCCTCCGCCTGCGAAGGTCGAACCCCGGCTCTGGCAGAGCCGCTGGGGTGGACCCGGCGCAGTGCTTGCGTATTCGGTATTCCACTTCCCGAGCGAGTGTTTAACAATTGCTTGAAGCGTGGGGAGTCACAGGGTCGTTACTACAGTGGCCGCTTCCCCGCGCCTCGTGCTGGGTGTTTGGCTTGTGAGAGAAAAGAAAACGTCCTCTTTCTGGGACTGTGAAATCCCCTCTTGAATTTTATAATGTTGTTCGTAGGTTAAAAAACTCGCGAAAACCACTCAGGCCCCTGCAGTCTTCTCTGAAAAGTATCCCCAAAGCACTTAGTGATGAGGGTCCTCCACTCAGGACAGGATGAATTTCAATGACTATTGACTGGGTGGTAATTATCTGGTTCCTGTCTTCCCAGCTAGATTGTTTTAGAAGCCCACGTTCAGACTATCAACTGACACTTCAAAACTGCTCAATTAGGCAATATAAGCTAAGTCAAATGAGGAATTAATTTAAGGTTTTGAATTAAAGTGATAAAACAAAATAACTGGTAAAGAAAATTAAAAATACTTCTAGGACTTAAAAACACTCCAGAACGTTAGAGTTATTTGTATTTATTCCAGCTTTTCTGTGTGCATATTTCTTTCAGATGGGTGAATCATTTGGAACTGACACCTCACATCCTTAATTTTTTTCCTTTTAAATTATTTTATTAGTACATGTCTTTAACTAGAATATCCGGCATGTTTCATTTAATTGTCTCTTTTCCTACTTTGCTCTGGATTTCATCCTGGGTCAGTTGGATTTTAACCTTTTTAGAACCTTAATTTTTTAAAGCCACCACTAACCACTCAAAGGCCATCCATAACCACACTGAAGCTGAGGTTATTTTCATTTTCCTAATTTTCAGTGAAAACAACTGAGTTATACTAATTATAGATATAAGACTTCGAGAGCAGTCTTAGACATTGAATACTTAGACACTGGGAATTGTTTAAGAGGCAGATACAAGTAACAGTTTTCCTGTGTTTTATTCAAAGAAAGCATTATTTTCAGATGAAAATCTTGAATCTTTTCTTGCCTTTAAAATGTAGTAGTTTAGGATACTTGAACTCATATTTATATATAGTGCCAAGACATATATCTCTTAAAGAAGAGCCTAAAAACCTTGACATTAAAGCAAACACCTATGTAATTCTACAAGTTATGCTAGAGGGGGTCTAAGGTTTCTGAGTATATGGGATTCTGAATTGGAAAAATATGAACTGTTTTAACAATGACACCTCGAAGAGTGAAGATCCTTTAGCTTGCTCAGGGACCTGTGTCAGAATGGAAATATACTGCTTAGAGACGGCACTACAGTATTTACTAACCACCAAGTTATAAAATGTGATGACATGACTGTAAATAGTAAATCTGTTTTTAGACATGGCCACTTTTCCTTTTTAAAAATTTATAGAACGGTGAAACTTTGGGGATGATAGAAAATTTCAGAAGGATTATTTTATGTCCTATCAGAAAATTCTAATAGTCGTGAATCCAAGGTGGTCCACAAAGTGCTCTGATGATCACCTTAAAGTGTACTTTTGTGCTGACATGTACGAAGCACATTTTCAGGTTGATTTAGCACTGGCCGCGTGCTATGGGTTACTCTACAGAGAAAGGGTGAGGTGGGTCTCCAGCGTTTTCAAGGCATTTCTTATCATGGTTCCTAAAAAAGAGTATTGTTATGATTGTGCCCAAGTTCAGCTCTAACTGCCTGCTAGCGAGCATTTACTGGTGAGCTTTCTAATGCATGTCTCAAATGAGGAATATTCCAAAGTGTCATCAGTTATTTCCAATATACTTGAAAAGATGAAACAACCAGAGTACAAACCGTTCAGTGCCCCTGCCTTTAATTCTCTAATATTTTATTAGGGATGCCTCATTAAGTCACATTATTCTGCAGCTGTTTTGCTCATTGAAAATTCAAGCAAAAATAAGGAACTTGACTGTGTAATGTAATTTTGTTTTCTTGGTGAAAAAATCATAAATTGAAATGAAATAAGCATCCAGCAGTCCCCTTTGACCTATGCCTGACATTTACAAATGCAATTCATCAATCTATTATTAGTAGGGCCCCATCAAAACAATGAGAGGAAGTGCATTAATACAGATTGCTGCTAGATAGGAGGGCCCAGCCAGCTGAATCACCCTCACAGCCGGCCCACACACCTACACAGTCCATGCTGTATCTTGCTTTTGAATCATTGGTCTTCGCAATGACGTATAACACGACGAATGTGCTGTTTTGTTTGAAAATTCTGTGATTATTTTGAACAACTTGGAAAACGTAGAACTATTTAATTATTCCACGGAAAGAAAAGGAATACTTTTACAATGAGTTGCCAGGAGTCTTTTTAAAGAACAGCTTTCCTTTAGGCTTGGAACACAGTTTGAAATGAGTGATTGACAGGAGGACCTGACCAATACCGACCTAGAAGTTAGTTTCTGTGTTTTTGTTGTCATTGGCCACTGAGTTATTTGGTAAATTCCAGGAGATCTGACTCTTTTCCTTCAGTGCAGAGGTTCAGTGTCTTTATCAATGAAATAACACTAATTTTTTATTCTTACAGAAATTTTAGACTTATTACAATGTGAAACAAGTAGTATTTAAATTCAGCTGTATGTAACATGTACTTGTGAAATCGCTTTCTCTCTCTCTCTATATATATATGTATACACACACACGCACACACAAAAGTTTTTAATGACACCTATGTAAAATACTGATTTTTTTTGTTAAATGGCAGGAAAAACTATTAAAGTCCACATTTTTAGATACATAGTTTTTCAATAGTTTAGATCATTTAACCTATAGCATAGTTGTATCTATAATTTAACAAGGTTCTTTATAATTGGGTTTTATTGTTTGAGCTACTGTTGTATACAGTCTATTTTTCTTCAGTTTTTCTTTTGAAGATAATTTTATTTGCTAGGCTATAAAACCAAAAAAAAAAATCCATTTTCTGCTCAATGTAGACACATTTTGGAATGTGTTCGTTGACACCGCAGCTAGCAATTCCAACACATTTTAAATACTCAATGTATTTATATGTTGCCTTTATTAAATATATTCTACTACAGTCAAAACACAAACTTTGCTTTACATTGAAGCATACTATTGTGGTTTGGCATGTACAAATTTTCCTGAAACATTTGATATTACCCTCCCAAATTATGTTCGATTTCTAAAACCTACCTACTTCCAGTGTGTGTGCTAGATTTCTTCTCGTATGGTAGACAGGTAAGCTAATAACTGGGATTGATGTAAATCAGCTCACTTCTGCAATTGATCATTATTGTCATTGGAAAATAAAAGACTTCCAGTCTGCTGGGATATAAAGTGAAAAGTGAATATATCACCCTAAGAGGGTTATTCTGTTGTGTTCACAGTGGCCCGTGTAAAGTAGGAATATAACTAATGAATCAATTTATTTGCTTATGTTAAATTAAACCCTTTTCTTCAGTTCCTTCGGTGTCCTAAATTATTCCGCACTGGCTGTAATTACTTTAAAATTTCCCCTGAATGGCCACTTAACTCAGGTACATTTTCCTTTCCTCTAGCAATAGTAGTATTGCTACGGTACAAATGCAGTATTTCAATTAAATTTATGTTCATAGTGCTTCTTTTATGTAGTAGATTTTGGAAATGCTCTACAGTAAGATTCAATAATGTGGTCATGTTGCATTCTAGCAATTACGGCAATAGGCTGAATTTAGCACTTGGCCGAAATAGAGAAGACGAGAGAAATAAGCCTCGTTTGCTCTTTAATCTCCTTGAGCTATGTAAAACTAACTACCCGCACGAATCCTGGAGAGTTCAGAGTGGCTTTTGATGAATGCAAGGTTTGTGTTACTAAATATTTTCATATTTTTATGAATTTTGCTGCTGTGAGCTCGTCACTATCTAATTGCAGACACATGAATGGGCAGCTGGGTTGCCCTTTAAAGGTCCTGCAAAGATTCTAAACCTTCCAGTTTGCAGCGTTAACTGCCTATGGCCTCCTACCATTGCATATGGAGCTTTTTGTTGAGCTTAATAACACAGAACGACATTTTGCTTGTGTGGATTAGGTAGTTCTTTATGAACAGGCCTATGAAAGTATCCATAATAGACACTAGACAGAAGATTTTTGGAAAAGTATGCTTTGGAATTAAAAGTTTTCAAGTCAGATTGGCTTGGGTCTATGTGGAGACAGATTCTTCCAGCAGAAAAAAAAATAAAAACCTATCATTTAAAATTATTCTTTATGTTAAAATTCCACCCTGTTTCCTTCCATGTTTTGTTTTGCAGCTGAGCCCTTCTCTTCCTTTATAAAATGTCCGTGGAGATCCCAATACTTAAGTATTCATGGAATAATTATACTTTCTCTCTTCTAATGGTCCAAATTTCTAATACCCATAATATTCTTGGTTTATTATGAGAAAAATCTATATAAAAATAGCTAAGTATGATGTTGCACACCTGTCATCCCAGCATTTTGGTAGGCCGAGGCAGGAGGATCCCAAGTTGAGCCCAGCTTGGGTAAATTAATGAGTTAGCGAAAACCTGTCTAAAACTAGAAGACTTAAGAAAAGGCCTGAGGACATGGTT